GAAGTTAATCACCCATCTCAAACTGTCTGTAAATAATGTATCACACCTGACTTATTAATCCAAACCGGTTTACTTTTATAACTGTGGTTCTGTTTTGTAACATGCGTCTAATCTGTTCTGCATCTACACCGTGCTTTGAACACTTCACCAGTCAGCTGTTGCCAAGACACCGTCACCAACATTTTTAAAGGATGACTCATATTCCTCTACAGCAGCTTTCTGTCTAATGATCGGCTGCGTCAGATAAGTGCTATAAAATTTCAACCTTTCTTGCGACTTATAAACACACGTTTAGGCCTCGGATGTGCAGCTGCAGATCATATGAGCTTGGTTATTGTTTTTAGTGAATTAGGCCTACTGTTCAGTGCATAATACATTTCCAGCGCTAAATCCAATACTGTATACAAGCACCTTTCAAAAAAGTTAAAAGTATGAGCTAATTACAACTAAACATGTTGTATGGTCGAGCATACTTTTAGGTTATCTCACATACTGTTTAAAGTATTGATCTGATCAATCATTAAAAAAAAAAATGATAGGAACAGTTCCTCTTTTCCACCTATTCATTATTCAAAATAGATTTTTCGAAGACCAATAAAGCTCAGATCATAAAGCCAGAAGTTACACATACCTGTTTCTCTGAAGGTGTTTGTATCTCCCTGACACTACAACGCTCCAGACTAACTCACCATAATCTATAGGGATTAATAATTCACCAGTAATCAGTCACCTGATCTGCAGCAGTGTTAAATATTCAGGTGGCAGATGTATCCACTCATAATGGTGGCTGATATGAAGCATCTCAGGTTGCACACAGGTTACCAGGAAGTTCGTGATAGTTGCTAGGTCATATGCCTGTCTCCCACTCTATACATTGTGTTCTTTACACATCCAGCTGTTTCTGCTTCATCGGACAACTTCTCAGTTTCTTGTATGACAAAAATGTAATATGCATCTCTTCAGCTACTGTATGCGGAAGACATTGTGGGTATGTTGTGTAAGTCAAATAATCCAGTCAAGCACTATGTAGGGAATCCCAAAGTTTAGACTCATTGTTTATAATTGAGCCACGGTCTGTTAACAATATATCTATCTACAAAACAGAGCTGACATGCTCAGTGACAGTAACAAAAAACAAGACACTGGATGTTGCTGTTGCAATGTGTTTAACGCCCCAGGGATCTACTGAAATGAAAGACAGTCACACTAGCTGGAAGGAGCTTAAATATGGGCAGAATCTTTTCAACAATCTACAATTTTCATACATGCTTTAAGGCAGTGCTTCCTAAACTTTTTCTATCATGCCCCTTGCTTGGAAGCCAAAAAGAGTCCAAGCCACCCCACCCCCCTACCTCTTTGGCCCATAAATAATGTATTAACTTATTACAATACTTGGGAAACTAACAAGGAGTGAAATTTAATTTCATTGAATAACATTATCAAGAACATGGACAGTTTGTTTCTTTTTATGCACGCTTCCCATTAGCATCTGTTTTACAAATCAAACCTTTATGGGTTTTTACACAAAGGGCCCTCCGGCTATATATAGTGACAGTCAATTAGTGCAGTGGTTCCAAATAAAATCTGAGCGGTCGCAAGATGATTAACAAGATGAAAGAATCAAAAAACATATTTCTTCTACACAAAGTTAGATTTATTTTGTTAATCCATGCTCTTTTTCTTTTGCTTCTTGTTGATTACTGCATAATTTTCCTTTTCTAGACCTTGATATATAATCTGAAAAGGATAATTGGTCCTTAGTTGACCTGGTCATAATCTGCACACATATGCAATTAATGCATTTTTAATGCACAAAGCATTTAAGGGATCAGAAACAAAAATGTTTGGGAACCACCGAAGTAGAAAGTAACACAGGCTTCTACATTTTTTCTTGATTTCTGTTTGACTGACATGTTTGCTAACCACAGTCTTGCCAGCATCACAGAAGTCTTGTTTGTTTGTAATTCACAAATGAATCAGATTTATTCAACTCTCTCTTCATGAAACTGACAAAATATTGCTGAGTAGATGTTAAGTAGTTTTAAATAATGGCAAAACCTTTAATCATAGAACTGTTGTCAAAGATATATTTGTCTTATTGTCACAACGCAAAGACAAAAGCCAAATGCTGCTCTTTTAAATGGACAGGAGACACATCATTGCTGCATTAGAACAGGACACCACTGGTCCTAGATGGTGACGCTCAGGTTACCCTTTGTTTACCATACTGCGTCAGCATAGCTGAAAAAGGGACATCGTATCTGGTGTTCAAAATGCCGGTCAGTGCTTCTTTGTGACACAGAATGTGGGAATTGTGTAAAAACTGGGATTTAAAAGAATATATTAGTAGATACTTATTGAGTGAAATAATATTTCCCTTCAACATTTGCATTTCTGGTGCATCAACATAATTCCAAGTGTCAGTGATGGTTCGATGTGGCGACAGCTTTAGATGATGTGAACAGCTGCAGCACAGGGACCGTCCTTCTCACCAGAAACAGTGCAAAGTAAAAGTGAGTAATCTAATTTTCTGCTTCCATCAAACTCGCACAATCCCACCCTCTCTGGTAAAGCCTTACGGGAACTTCACTTGGTAAACCCTTTGGTAAGTCTGTGGAGAGAGAAAAAAAAAATACTTGGAACTATAATCCCTTTTAAGGGGATATGAAGAGGCTTTGCAGTAAACCTCCACAAGCCACAAGCCAGGCCGAGAGCACTGCGCCCTTGTTCTCACCCTGGACGACCAAAGCCTCACACGACCAGAAACAAACACTTTTTTAGTGCAAGTTTGAAACCCCCTTAGCTTAGCAGCACACCTGCATGATTAATAACTGCCAAGTGACTACTTTGGATACACAAAACATCAACCTAATTAACAAGAAGCCAATGCCCTCATCATTCTAAAAACAGTAATGCCTCATCTAATCACAAACATCACAGCTGTTTTAGCAGCCACTGTTATGATGCAGTGAAACATTGTACAGTGCAATGCTCCGTTAGAGTACTATGCAACATAACTAACTGACTGCTGTGAATTAAAGCAGTGCAATCGACATCAAATTCTAAGAATTACCTGTATTGAAACACGGTTTCAAAGTGCAATAGTCTTAATGCAAAGTCTTACCTGTAAATAAAAGATTCTATAAGTGCAAAAAACTAAATCACATGTTATTTCATGTGTGAATACAGCCACCTCATATTAGCATAAGCTTCAATGTTCATCACTAATTCATTCACCACCAACGAAATATATTTCAAATTTAAGGCAGTAGTTTTACAAATGAAAATGTTGAGTGCCTGTTACAATAGCATAAATTGTGGTTTAATATATGTTTTTCACTATGGCTTACTGGATTCTAGATCAGTTATTAAACCCTCAAGTGAATGAAATTTTGTATTTTTTTTTTTTTATGTCATACATAGGTCTACTCCACATCATTTGAAATACTGACTTTTGCATGAATTGTCTCATTTCTAGTTGTCTTGAAATAAAGAACATTGCAATCTGTTTTGATAAGAATTATCATTATTTGATAATTTTATTTTGAAATGGAAACATTATTAAAATTTACAACACTGTGTGTCCAGCTTCTTACAAATGTAACACGTCTAAGTGAAGTGGCACGAGTTAAAGTTTTCCATACAAGCCAATAGTGCAGATTATCTGCAGGCCTACAGATGAGGAAACATGAGACCTACCTTGACTTTGCTGCCTCCGTATTTCCATCTCTAAAATCTACAAAACAAGGGAAATTGTTTCAGTCACCAGCTGATTACTGCTCAGTCTTGCATCTCTCTATATGTGGATCCACACAGCAAACACTGGAGACAATTTTACATAAAATGTACTTTACTGCCTTTAACTAAATTCTATACGTGCAGCTTACCGTCCATAGCAACATACACAAACTGATTTCCCCGTTTACGCCATAGGTTTCCTCAAGTGAAGGGTTTTAATTATTAACGGTATAGATACCTGAGCATGCTGTCCTGCAGAAGACCACAAACTCTTTCTCAATATAACCTCATGCAGCATTCAATGGCCTCTCTGGAGGTATACACACCTGCGCATGGAGTAAATGAGGAAATGTGCAGTGATGCTCGCCGTAGCACCGCTGGTAACACCAACATCTCTCAGCATTCAATCTTGGTGGTTTAACCCGGTTAAAATCCCTACGGTGGTCCATAACAGAAAATTGTTTCATGTTGTCTAATTGGCAGAAATGTCCGGAGAAAAGAGAGGCTTTGTGCGGCCACTGGTCATTAACCAGGGGGCCTCCGTTGTTTATGAAGGTTCAACCCAATTATCCTCACAATGCTGAGTCACATGGCCGCGAAGTTTCCTGGTACTCTGAAAAGGGCAGTGGACTATTTGGATAAACTTGAACAGTATATTCAAAAACTAATGGAGCTTATGTGCAATTTTACATGTACTTTTAAATTTACATTTCATTTTTATTTATAAAGCTGATTTTCTGCAGGACTTTAAGCTTCCACTTACAACTTGCATACACAGACAGTAGTGAGTAGCCACTGATGCATCGAGCTCAGTTGCATATTGAAAATATTTTGCATGTTTTTTACCTGCATTCTAGTATATAAAGTCACATTATTCATTCAAAAATGTCACAGGATTTGTCTGTGGAGGTTAGGATCTGAACTGAGACCCCTGGTGGACACAGCTTGAGGTGGATGTCTGTATCCTACTGGCCACATCCCTCCAACAGCCCACATCAGCGGATTGAGACTGGAGAAAACCCTGCATAGAAAGTAACATTTAAGCTTTATGGAGCAGTCATGAAATCCTCTTTCCTCTCGTCTTGCACTTGAAATTATTTCAATTACACCTGCTAGAAATGATAGTATTATCTGCTTTTTCGACAGCACAGAAAGACAAAGGGTTGATATTGGTGTATACAAGAGTTGACAATGTCATTACTTGTACTGCTCAAAGACAGACTTAAGAAAACTGGCAACAGAAAACAAAACAAGGACACAAATCAGTGTGTTTATATTTTATTCACATATGTTACATTTTGCATTAAATGTCCAAGTCATACTTTCTGGTCAAACTCAGAAAGTTTGAGTCAGCACCTACAGTAATGTACTGTATTCTCTCTTCATTCATACAGGAGAACACGCAAGAGCTTTCAGTTACAATTTACACCCATTTCTCATTGGCTATTTGGTTGCGGTCATTTACATAGTGGGTACTGCAAAATCAAGAAGAGAGGAGAAACTGAGTAAACAGAGAAGCAGCATGCATGAATTCAAGAGGATGTTGTTTCAAGTGTTAACTTGTTCCTTAAAGATTCCTTGATGCAGCACGACGTGGCCCAGCATTTCAAAACCAGACATCAGGGATATCTGCAGTATGTCGTTTATCACTTGAAAAATTTAACATTACTCTTGCAGGCACGACTGGATAAATTTCCTCTTCCGAGAAAAAAAAAAAAAATGATGATAATCAGAAAATTAAGTAGCTAAGACACTTAAATAATGGTGACTTAAAGGATGTCATGCACAGTGTATAACGGATGCTCAAGTCTGATAATCTTGTGATGTTGGAATGCAACTATAAATCACAACTAGATGATGCAGGGATAGTCATCACAATGAATGTTCTATACTGCAGTTAGGGCTCAACAATCAAAAGCTTAAAAAGGGAAAAACTTTCTTGACAGCACAGGGGAGTGTTGGCATTTCATTGAGAGAAAACTTTGATAGAGCCAATATAGTATTTCTGCTCGGTGTTCAGGTTTGCCAGTACAGCAGGACACCATTATCTGTGCGATGACGTTTCTTTTCTTTAAAAATGTATGCTACTTAAATTTTGAATGTTTGACTTCAGGTTTTTGTGGAGCGATGACAATAAGTCTTAAATTACTTGTAGACTGGTTGTAGCTTTAGCTGTTTTAGAGTTTCTTTCTTCCTACAAACCAACCAGAAACAAAAAGCGTGAGCGTGATGACCGCATACCTCCTTAAACATGAAAGTGAGTTTGAGTAAACATTCCCAGCTATCTACCATAAACCCAAAGCACAACCTTAGAAAAAAAATCTTCACAAAACTTAAAATTACTTACTTGAACAATGAACAGCAGCATTTATTTAAATATCTAAAACGTAATTTAACCAGCAAAAAAAAAAAAAAAGTAAATTCCTGAGGATGGATTGCAACTAGACCCATAAAAGAGCCTTTGCTTGTTTGCAAAAAAACTCTAGTGTGTTGATGGGTGGACTTGTCCTGCCTACCATCACGTGTCAGCAGACAATGAGTGCACATTGCAATAACATCGCTACACTCATAAGGAGCTTGAAACTCATGCCAGCACAGCAGAGCACATTTCGATAAATAAAAAGGGATATGCATTAACATCATCATAAATGGTGCAAAAAGTAATCAAAGTTTGCTGGGACATTCAGCACTTGATTTGATTTTATATATATATCCCCCCCCCAAATAAATATGACAGGCTTCAAAAGCCTGTCTGAAACCAATTGAATTTCTGGGCAAAGTTGTGCTTTTAACTTTGATCTTACCAAATTCTGTTTTTCCCTGTTGAAAACCACACAATAAATCACTTAAACACACACACGTGTTAATCTTTAGGCATGATTGTACACCAAACTTCACATGAACCAAGGCTGTGGCAGCAATACCCTCACCGGATGTTTGTGTTTATCACGTTAAAGAGTTCCCAAATATTTTGATCGAGGCAGACACATAAACCAGAAATAAAAATCTTCTCCGTCACGGGTTGCTGTTTTCAGTGGACTTTGGAAGATCTTAGAGTCCATTATAGTGAGGGCCCCAACGCTTATTGATGTGATCAAAGGTGTGTGAAACCCACTGTTGCTCCAACACTCGATACCTCTCTTCACACAAGAAGAGAGGCTTGCCACGGCTGGAGAAAGGCCAGAGGGGAAAACAAGAGTGAGAGCTGTGTTTGTTTTCTCTGCAGCAGCAAGTATTTAAAATAAACTGTGTCCCAATTTCATACTAGATCAAAATTCTACAGTAAGTTTTTGAGTATGTTTGTTGTTATTTAAATGTATTCAAAAAAGTCTATATGCATACTATATTGTGATGACTAATGTTTGATCTGAGTGTGCTGCTGATGTAAACTAACTGGAAATTTTACTTCCTTTTACTGTCCATTTTTACTTTTGTGAAGTTGAATTGACAGTGACGTTCCAGTAATCCCTATTTGAAATCAAACTTGTACGAAATGGTGCAAAAAAAATGCACTGATTTCTTGTACACTATCTGCTATATGCTGTATACTACGACAATTAGTATAGATACATATTGTATAGAATAAGTGTGAATAATGGACTTGGGACACAGCACAGGAGTATTAACATGTTTTAACTGTATATGATTCACCACACAATATGACCGTGTGTGTGTGTGTGTGTGTGTGTGTGTGTGTGTGTGTGTGTGATGTGTCATACCGTAAATCGCGGTCCTCCTCTCCATGGGCATCAAGGTAAACAGAACCCCACAGGCAGAAACGATGTCCACGGATGATGATGATGACTGAGGCATTTATCAGTAGAAAGATGCCTGTAGCTGCGCCACAATGTTGGGAGTGCTACAAGGTATATATATATATATATATATATATATATATATATATATATGAAAATGATCCAGACAAACAGCTATGTAAATTTAGCTTTCAATTAGGTATAACATTAGTAATTTCGTTACCACAATATCAACTGTGTGACAATAATAATAATATGGCCCGGCTTCTGATGCACTGAGAAACTTACCAAAACACATTCACAGATACCCTGCTGCTTGCAGCACACGCCTTTGAGACAGACGAAGGCTCCACAAACAAGGCAGAGTGCAGGGTCTTTTGGCACCTTTTTGCAGGCAGTGCAGGCCTTCCTGTGATAGTACTGGAAGATGATATTGTAGTTGTCAGGTAATTGGAGAAGGCGGGGGGCTGCCCACTGAGGATCCTGGACAAGCAAGGTCTTCAGAGGTATAGAAAGACAGAAGAACGTAAAATATACAGCATTCAGGTCATTTTTTAATAAAAGCATAAGAGAGCAAAAATGACTTGTCATTCTACACAGAATCAAAACAATTCACCGGGTCTTAGTACAGTACAGTCATAAATTGACATGCAAGACACTTTTTCACTAGATGATGTACCACATCCAAGGTTACTGCAATACTGAATGACGAAGGGCATAAGACACATGGCTAATTATGCAGTCACTCTCCTCAGAAACACTAACAGCTACGGACCTTGTCAACCAAGGTTGAAACTAATTGTCAAAATGTCACTTGAGTTACACGACGTGTTTACAGGACACAAAGTTCAAAATACATGGCTTGAATATTTAAATGCTGAGAGTATTTAAACTATTTCTTTGAAACTCAAAAGCCAATTAAACTCAAACCTATACTGCACACCAAAATCCACTGGTAATTAGTTTTAGTCTGTTAAAGAGGCAGAACTGCTTAGGACAAGGACATTTTTGGAAGGCTCACATGTGAAAATGATTTTACTGGTCTTTACATGTTGTCTTTTGCATAGATCAAAGCTGATAAGGCTTGAAATATTGATAGAGCAACAGACCAAGAACAATAAGTTGGTATACAAACACCACAAGATGCGCGCGCAGTCAGGAGGCTTTGGTGACAGAAGACTCAGAGATGCAAAGAACATTGTCTTTCGTTGTAAACTTTGTGCAACCAGTTTTCAACCGCGAACAATTTTGTATTGAAGCATCTGCTAAAGCAGCACAGAAACGAGAACCTTAGCCTGTGGAAAGAAACTCCGGCCTCTACTGCCAGTGAAACATCTAGTCAGCAGCAAAGAGTGGCATTAAGCAATGTTTTGTATTTTGTAAAGGCTGCAGTGTTTTCACTTCAGCTGGTTGTCGACTCCTCAGGTTAATTATTGTTCCAGTAAAGTGGATTCATTTCTAAAATGCACTGCTAAACAGGTTTTCCTGTTGAAAGTAATGGTAACGTAACGTGTAACGTGACTATTTACTTTTAATACCTAGTAATAAGTAAAGTAATATTACTACATTTATTCATTTAGCTGACGCTTTTATCCAAAGCGACTTACAATTGCTATACATGTCAGAGGTTGCACACCTCTGGAGCAACTAGGGGTTAAGTGTCTTGCTCAGGGACACAATGGTGGATGGGTCACAGTGGGGAGTTATTACTTTCTAAAGGAGTAATAAGTAAAAAATAACTCATTACAATTTCTGAGTCATTTGCCCAACACTGCAGCTAGATATGCTGTATATACTGATATGCCGCAAAGACAGAGTGCTGCTTTCTGCCACCTGGTTCTCTGAACACAGAAACCCATCTATATGTGAGCTTAACATTTCATTGCAGCTGTTCTCTGAGTTTCAAGAAAACATCTGGATATAATGCTGTCATAATATACATTTATATCCTCGTGTCTGATATACCTTACATACATACCAATGATTGCTCAGTCTGCATCTGAGAGAGCCCTGTGACCTCAGCGCACCACTGTGTCACCAAGTCAAAGCCGCTGACCGTCCACTTCAGACATGAGGCACTGTTCACGACGTTGGAAAGCTGAGGAGCCGACGGCAAGAGCCCCAGACACACAGCCAAGGACAAGAACTCCTCCTCCTCCTGAGAACACGCAAACAAGAGAACAGCTGATGAGGTCACTCGCCAACAACTGATTCACAGGAAATCAAAGGATTTAAAGTCCAGTGTAATGTTTCTTGTATTGAGACATCAATAATAGAAAATGGACTGTACTAGTCTTCGACCACTATTCTACATGTCACATTCACACACACAGACATTCCTACACTGATTCAGTATATTGCACAAGGAAACATGGAGGAGCCGGTATCCAACCGCCGACCTTCTGATTAGTGGACATTCCACTCTTCCTCTAAGGCTTCCTCATGCTGGAAAGATTTAAATGTCGTCATATTGTAAAACATAATGTACACAAAATGAGCAGAAACACTGACTGCTGCAAGGATACACGGGTAAGGTACTTTCAGCAGATAGCATGACATTTATGCTACAACATACCAGGCAGCTAGTTAGGTTGTCTCCATAGAGGTGATGCTGCAGAAGGCAGGAGAGGCGAAGGAAGGGCAGGCAGAACTGCTGGAGGCTGAACTCGATAGACTGTGGGGACCACACACTGGAGATCAGCTGGAGAGGGAAACAACAGAAACACTGATCAATAACCAGCTGACAGCTCGCTGATAATACTGTGATGTATATCTCCCCAGGAGATTAGTGGAGATGTTGCACCCCTGTCTCTCACGGTTATGGCTAATTCATTGTTTAAGTGAAAATGAAAAAGTGTGGAAAAAAAGAAGGAGAGCAACATCCCGACGGCAGTTTTGTTCTTAAGTGCTAAACAGTCATGTTCATGGCTCACCATTGATGTTTCGTCAGCGTTCACCTTGTAGACACTCTTGTCCTTAGACAGCTCACTGATAATGTGACTGAGCAGCGCTTCAAAAGACTTCTCAGCATTTGCAGCACTCTGTGGCAGAAAATGAAAATGCAGAAAATGTTGGCAACATGTAATCAAACATTAAAAGGCCCAGAGATAGACTTTAATCTATTCTATTATCTCGGTCAACAGACATGCACTTGTCTCTATTCCCTGTTTGATCTAAATTATGTTGGGAGCATCAAACCAAGGTATCGTTAGCTGGCTATAAAAATCCATCTTGTTGCAGTCCCTCCAAACACTTAACCATGTCTAGTCTCAAAAAGCCTTTGTCCATTGATAGGATGAGGAGGATGGAAAAACTCTGGCAGACCTGCAAAGTTAGGTATTAACATCCAACAACCAATAAAGCCATAACAAATATGGGTCTTCAGCAGTCTAAATTAGCCTTTCATCCTGAAAGCATGTGTAGATTTACTGCCGGAAATAATTCATCACCAGTCTAACTGCACTGAACTGTTTCCCAGTTTTTTTTTTTTGTTTTGCTTTGTTTGGATTAAGAATAGGGACCTCATCTGCCTGGGCTGGAGCCAGAAAAAAAAGCAAAACCTCTTAAAAATAAAACGGTGAGTGAGATTTATGCAGATGTAGAGCCTATTGTAAGTTGACCAACAGAAAACAAAACAACTCTTAAATAAGTATATTTCTTCAATTGTCATGACAAACGTTAACTTAACTGCACCTAGCAACAGCTACCACAGCTTCTGTATCAACTACAAACTATGTCAGTGGGATGGATGCGTCACTCATTACTGACTGGTTAGGGGCAAAACAAAACAGGCCATACCAGCTGGCCCCTTCCCAATGACAAATTGGTTACCACGGATATAATGTCAGGCTAAATAATGCCAACAAAATGACAATTCAGTCTGATTATTAGACCAGCTTTGATGTGGCTTGGCACAGATTCTCATGAACTGTAGGGATGGACACCGTTCTCCCAGAACAGATTCCCTCAAAAGATATTCTCTCATTGGGTCGAGAGCGCGGTCTAACACAAAATCCAAAATCTCCAATGAGTGCTTGACTTCTGTAATCAATTGAGAACTGTAACTATGCACATCACCTTCATACTCAAACTAAATCACATGTTTGAATCAGTTCACAGATGGATACCTGCTGTGTCTTGCACAAAACATGCATCATAGCCTACAGAGCTTCAGAAATTGATAAAACTATTACATGACTCTTAAGCAGGGACAAAACCGCATAAAAAGAAACGGCCATGGAATTATCAATTTTATATAATTATATGAATGTCAGATATCAGAATATATAATAAAGAACAGAATGCTTCATCTGTGCGTCTTCCTAGCCATCCTCGTACATATAAAGTGTGCTGCACTGTAGAATATAATGACTTATGCAGAACACGCTGAGGACAATAATTCTTTCCTTAAAATATAACATCTGATAAGAGGTAGAGACATTACTGAATGTGTGTTCTGATAAAAATGCAACTGGTTTGGATGGTATTTTATACAGAGGGAAAACCGCAAGCATTTATCAAGTTGAAGGTGGTAGAATATAAAACAGCAGTCTTATCTCGTCTTCTGTCCTTTGTCATAGATTTATAGGGGAGGAATTTCAAGTCCATGGATTTCTTTCCTCTAGGCTCTGATCTTTGTTCAGACGGCATATTTTGCAGCAACTTCAATTTAATTACAACGGTGTTCTAACCAAATATGGATGCCGTCCTTGTTGTGGATTTGAAATCCATCTTAATGGCAGTATTGTGAATGCCTGCACTACTATTCATGACAGTGCAGTGGGAAGATATTAATCCTTGCCTCCATTATGGATGAAAACACCCTAAAGGGGAGGGTTTCAGCTATTTGTCTTTTGAGATTCAAGCCAGCCGCTCACTAATACAGATTTAATAGACTGAAGACAGATAGCCAATTAATGCAAAACTCTCCAGCAATCACACTTTTCTAGATAATGAAGATCGATACTGTCGACTGTGGAAATCACATAAATGAAACCAGAAAGGGCTCGATTCATCTCAATACTAAGTCATACACAATGATTTACTGTTGTTGTAGACTGGTTCCAGGGATATTCAGAAGATACAACTGGTTCAACGTGCAGAGGAAACAGGTAGACTTACACAGTGATGGTCCTCTGAGCATTACAGCAATGAAAGAAAAAGGACAAGACCTACTGTATGCTTGACATTAGAATATAAGGAAACTAAGTTTGGCATCAGCATGTCATTAAGAATCAGGTCTCAGGCTACTCTTATAAGATTTCACTTTTACCTTCTTGAGTGCTCCGGATGTGCTCCAGGCCTGCCTTTCTTCTGGGCTAAACTTAGATGAGAGTGCAGCCAGAGCCTGGGCGAACTGCAGGTTGTACAGCATCTTCACCACACAGTTAAAGTGCTCTACACAAGGAGAGAAGGTGACAGATAAGTTACTCAAAAAATTTATTCATAAAATCAACACATGAGCATATGTTATTTTGAGTTTAAAAAAAATCTTCCAGCATAAAATGAAATGCCAGTTCAAGAAGGTTGGCAGGTATTCATAGGGACAATGTATTTGCTTTCTCAGTTCTGCAGAGAGCCTCACTGAACAGCGTGCAGGATGAGTTTTTCAGGTGGAATATGTAGTCTGACGGATATTTAAGTTTGGTTTAAAGAACAACAAAGAATGTCATTTGTTTTCTTCTAAAGCAAAGGGCTGCAGGCAGCTCCAGTTTCCTGGCTACTGTGACAAGTGTTAGGGCCCGTGTCCACCAAAGCGTTTTTTGCCAGCTGAAAACGCCACCTGCTGTTCTGAAAACGCCAAGCTGGGAGCGATAGGGTGCATTTTGGAGTCGCAGTGGGTTTTTTTCGAGATGTTGTGGTTACTATGATACATAATTTCCGTGGAGGCGATGTGTTGCAAGTAGGGTAGCCTACTTAATTTTAGTGAATGTAAAAATATCACCACAAAGTGCGTAGACCTACTTGCTCTTGCCTTTGCTCTGCATGAAGAGAAGGCTGAAACATGAGAGCACAGACTGTCGGTATGCGGGTTCATGAGATTTTGCGGGCGAGGACACACCTCGGTGAGTAGGCACAATGTTTCATTCAAGATCGGATGTGCTCGGTGCGGTGTTTGTCCCGCCCCTTCTGCACTGTGATTGGACAGCTGAGTAAAAAGTTGAACATATTTCAACTCTCGGCGACCGGAGAAAAATGCTCACCGCGGAAAAGACGCTCAGAGCCTCGTCACGCTCCTGGTGTTTTTACCAGCTTGGAAAAACGCGGCGCTCCCATTGCAATGAATTGAAAAAAAGACGCTGGCGTCAGAAAAAAACACTTTGGTGGACATGGGCCCTTAGTACACAAAATTAAAAGGTTGAACTAAAAAAAGAGGACATCACTTTATAGCAATGAAGTGCAAAGGATCCCCCAGGGAATGAGCATGCCTTACCCTTTCTATTAACTTACAAATCATGATTTAGAATTTGTTAACCGTTTCAATAAAACACTTTCCAAAAGTCCTAATTGTCCCTGTCAGCAGTCAAGCTAATTCAGTCATTATTAAAATGACCCTCCTGCTCTTCTCCCACATGACTGCAGTGTTTTGGGCCAGGTCTTTAGGTGGCCCTCTGCCTTTTCTAGTGAAGGGCTGAGATGGAGGAGATGTGGTGACAAGCCACAGATGAAGGGTGCACGAAGGAAGTGCAGCCCTCCCATCACCAGGGTCATGTCTCTCTAGTCCTCACAGCCAAACAACGGCAACAGGAGAATAGATAAGAGATGTGAAATGCTTCTTTGCAGCACTCAGCCCTGATTACTGCTGATAACGGGGCTGTCCTTGTGGAGCAGTCACAGAGAAACTTCCTGCTCCCTTGTAATGTCATGATGCAGACATAGAAACCGCACCTTTTCGCAGAGGCTGTGGCATCGTTAGCACAAAGATAATCAGGAGGGATGGGACATCTCGAAACAGCATGGGTACCTCAGGTCTCTCTTCATCAAAACCACTGCAAAAACATGCAAAAGAGCTTTTTATTAATCAGATGTTACTGTATAACGTTGGTCCCATGTCAAATGGCCACTGTGTTGGAAACAAAACACAAGAAATATATTTATTTATCATCCAAAACCAATAATAAACATGGTAAAGATTAGCGGTACTACTTTTTCCTTACATTAATTTGATGGTAATTTAACATCTTTGTCTCATGTCTGTATATGTGGCAGTCTAACTTTTACGTAAAAAGTTACAATGGCAATTTTATTCAGCCGTACCTAGTAACACTTTCAGTAACCCACAAGTCCGAATTAAATACCATTAGATTAATGTAAAGGCTGCAACCGCACAAGATAAAAGATGAACGGCGTCTTTTTCAGCCTTCTACATCACTGTAATAAATGTATTACCTCAGCACGTGAGAAGCAGAGGCAAAATATGTTTTAAAACCCAGCAGTGATGGAGGGAACAGAAATTACCATTTCTTTCTTGCCATCATAATATTTTTAATTTGACTCTGTCTCCCTCTCTCTTTGCCCGTCAGTGTCTTCTCATGTGTGAACAACGCAGCAATTACGCCAGCTATGTCTGAATGCTAAAAAGCCATCTCTCCTAAAGCTGGATGAAGGCAGCAATGTTACTTATTGCATGTCTGAAAATGAGAACATGGTCTTGCTGTGTATATGGTTTTAAATTTGCTTGACAAATACATGGCTTGTAAAAGCCCCATTCCTTGTACTCCCTGACAAACTTCCTTAATGCAGCCCCAGTTACATATTCATACTGTGTGCCATGTCCATTTAAATGTCTTCTGTTCTGTTGACAATTCACAGAGGCTCCAATATTCACTCTGCTCTTGAAAGGGCTTTTGAATGAGAGGAACTGCACTTAAAGAATAATACTACCCATTACCAAAGCACTCACCGGTTAATTCTACTGTGCACTGGAGGAGAGCCTTAGAGGACGGGGCTTTCAACCCTGCTAAGACCACTGCATACAAATAATACAGTAAAATCTCCATTCATTCCTCTTTGGTTTATCTAATTAAAATCACGCAAAGAGCAATATTTTGTATCGATGTAGAAACGTCTCTCTCTGTCCTATTTAAAACAGGCTAGATCAGGTTGACTGCCTCAGGGTGTCAGCCAGTGCTCCCTCCGAAACCCTAATAAAGTATTTTTAAACACCAAATGGCTCCTCTGAGAATACTGTATGGCTGTGAGCACTTTACAGGTGTAAAAGCTGTCTTACACCACTAACAGGGAGGAAATGTTTTTCAAGCTCATCTTGTATTAAGTGCTGCAGGTAGCTTTTTTTTTTTTTAAACTGTTGCATGTGCGCATAAAATAGCAGGTTCTGACGTACAGTAGTGATTCAAAGACAGACAAGGACTGTGTGTGTAGTAGAAACTATGTCTTTCGTTAAATACGGGTTTCTTTTGAAGCTAGGTGGACAGCTGAGAGCTGAGATGCCGTGCTGGTATGGTGTTGCTGTGGTGCGGTTCTTCTCAGTACAGTGAATTTGACAGGGTCGTTTTGCTCTCCGTGGAGTGCCCGGTAATTTGCCAGATGCAGCAATTATTGGTATCTATGGAAACGCATGGTCCCTTTTCTGTTTTTAGCTCCTCTTTGTGTGGAGGAAAAGCTGTTGGGGGCAGGAGGAAATGGTGCCATTTAGAAAGAGGGCAAAGTGGTGCTCTGATTGCAATGTTTATGTGAGGGTGGAACAGTGTGAGGGCAAAGTAGAGACTAGGAGGTATGAAGAATGTATGAATAGATTTATAGATTTACTGTTAGCAGCGGTACTTAAGGGAGAACGTCACTCACTCTGCCTCTTTGCTTTGTGTGACCTGAGTTAGCTTAGTCCAAGGGTTGTAGGCTGAATCGATGCTGTACAGACGCATGTGCATAGCCAGCACATGGAACAGCTGATCTGAAAAGGAAAAAACACAAACACATCATTGTTCTGTTTAGACAACGACTGACAGGGACAAAACCAGCAAGTGTCTGTTTAGCTCGGTGCCCATTGTCACACCCCACCAGCAACCAGTGTAGATTAAATGATGGAAGCAGTTGACTTGAAATGACTGCAGGCTAATGGTTTGGCTCAGATAAAACTGGGCCAGGCCAGATGGATACATGGTAGTGCTTGACAGCCTTGAGCAACTCTCTGGTCAGGTCACACCTGTTCACTGTAAAACTAATGGAACATGAAGGGAGGACCCCCCCCCACCCTCCGCGCACACACAATGTCTCGTGTACACGGTTGCTTTTAATAGCAGTGCATTCACATCCTCGATTGTCTTTATCTGGAGCAAACCTGTTACAAGTATCAACATTTATGACATTACAACAAGCCTCAACATGGGAAAGAAGCCAGAAACTGACCAAATCATTTAAGATGTTAGGTAATATCTTCCAAACTAAATAAATGCTCTTGTCTTTCTTAGTAGTCCAGAAATTAATTAACCTACTTATTCTAATTATGAACACAATCCAAGTCTTCCTAAAGCCAGAAATTAAAACTGCATGACAGCTGTAGATTTAAAATCACATGTGTCTGAAACCAGTGCCACTGAACCGATCAGTTCCATTTAGTTTCATCTTTAGGTGAACCCAAAAACCTTCTGTATAACCTAAACCTTTTCCAATGAGCAACTCTAATCCTATTTGATTTTGTTTTACAGGGAATTATGATGCTGTAATGCAGCAAAGTGCTTCAGATAATCAGCTATGGCAATTTGACTTGTGAGAACTATCAATACTTGGAGCAACACTGCCCTCCACAGGTAAACAAAGGCACAGCACAAAGAAAGCAACATGACTGTGTCATCCTTCGTCGCATCCCATTTGTCTTCACTACGGCTCGTTTCCTCTCTTGAAGTTGCTTCCTCAGACTGACTGGTGTCATGGCATATAAAAACATTTTGTAAAAGGTTACAATTAGTCTGCTGACAGCTCTGCTACAAATCTAACAATAAAGAATATTGTTCTGCTTCCTACACTACCGAGACTGATACTGTAAGACACTGGGGAACAAAGGAAAGCAGGAGATACTGAATGGAGCAGACCTGTGTGCGCCACAGAGGTTTAAATTCCTCAACTATGAGATAAAACACCATGGAGCTACAACAGGAAATGGCTCAGGACTACTTGAGTGGATCAGAATAAAGAGTCGATACCAGTGTTGGCCTTTGGAAACCACACAACTGAACAACCTGCACTCAAGGAGAGGCCTCTTGCTTTGGTTTAAGATATTAATGATCTGGACTACATGTGACAACTCATGATAATAGTGATCGGCTCTTATTCTTTTATTGTTGTGTTTATAGACTGTAAAACACAGTGTGCCCTTTGATATTCCTACATTACAATCTTCAATCAGTTGACATACATTTTGTTACGCAAACAACGTCTAGAACTAAGCATTTTGCCCAGCTGATATTGTGAATGTCAAAACCACATTTTATTAATAACGATGAGCCAGCATGCACGCTACCAAAACCCAGAAACCAAAGTAGCGAAATGGAATTCAACCTGTGCTTTCCTGCTGTGATATTTCAAAATGTCGTCCATGAGTAAAGCCTATTCTCCTGTTAATGGTAAGAACATTCATACCAATCGCCTTTCACCAAATACAATGATAAAAGTGAATTTGAACACTGCTAGTTTGCAGAACTGAGGTCAACATGATTTGAGGCAAATTACAGGCAAATCATGTTGAACTCAGTACAGCACAGTAGCAGCCAAATACAACATACAACACACACACACATGAATTCAAATATTTGCAGTTAAATAAACCAAGGACATGGTATTTGAACGCTAGACTCTCTAGAGTTGATTTAGCCCATTTCAAGGGAATTTCAGGGAGCTTGCCTCTGTGGTCCATCATATCCTCATCAGCTGAACAGAAGAAGTGCCTACTGGGAAACAGGCTCAGGAACCCCATGAGTTCTCACAGTTAGCACATATCTGCCGTTTCCCTTTTAATCCATTTCCCTAAGAAGAACGAACACTAATGTACTGCAACTGAGTAAATTTGGCCGTCAGCACAGCTACATGGTTAATGTAGCTCAAAAATGACAAACCTCCAGTGTGAAATCTCTTTTCAGCCACTCAAGGATGACAGGCCATTTCACTGCAGCAGCCACAACTTTGACAGAATAATTAAACCAAAAGAAAATGGGGTGTAGGCTGCACAACAGACTGAACTCTGACACCTTCATATACACTTTCTATTGCAATATCCCAACCACAAATAACAACTGATTAGGTTAGTAGTGGTTGATGATTCAGCGTTTTCTTTGAGGTTCAACTAAGATCACAGTTTCCATCCTCCCATAGACGCATGCATTTGTCAGTTGTGACACAATGAACTAAAACAGCACTTGACCCATTTGTCTGCTTCATTGACGGCTCCCAACAGCTGGGACAGCATCTATATTGGGTTTTTAGTCAGACACTCTATTAAACATGGGCCCATGGCAAATGATGCACAGGCACCTGCAACAACACACGTCACTATAATTTATAACTTAAACAACAAAATAAATCTGACATAGCACCACACGGAGGTCACTGGAAACCCATAGGCAAACCAAAATATTTTTAAATAATCAGCATAAATTAAAGGGAGCAAATTTTAGTGCAATTTTAACTTAGTGTCCATGAATTCCTATTGAATTGTCCCATAGATTTAGCCAATTATCCCATAGATTTAGCCATATCAGGCCATAGGCATTCCAGATCAGATTTTGGTCAGATAAAATATCTGACTCCACACAATCCATATTAGTGAAATGTTATAATCTAAGATATAAAAGATGAAGAGGTCTAAGAGTAACTACTCACTTAGACACGAGCGTTTGGCAGCTGCACTGGCCCCTCCAGAGCACAAGTTTCCTCCCCGGTGCACAAGTTCCAACTCCAGGTTAGTCCTGAGGAGACACAGCCATGATTATTAGTAGGTAGCAGTTACACATATGAAAACAGTTAAACAAGTGTCAAACGTCACCCTTTAAAAGGTAACACTATAATTAAGTGATAATTGGCCTACCAATTACTCACTCTGTCAAACAGGCTAGGTCAACAAGATTTTCATGCTTGCTTTTAAAGACGGAAGGTAAGGCAATTTTTTATATAGCATATTTCATACAACCGCACCCAAGGGCAGTCAAGAATCCAGACAAAAACCAAAGACATGCAAGAGAAGGAAGATTTAAATGTCTTGGCCATTTCTGACAAAACAAAAGTTAGCTGGAGATTATTACAGCTGCAATAATTATCTTTATTTCCACCCAGTCCTGCTTAGTCATACTGGCACAGGCTGTTCATTGGCTAAAATGATACGGTATTAAGTGCCAAGCTGTATAGCTCTAACTGCACATTAATGCACAGGTAAAGTACATCATAAGCCAGTGTGTAGGACTGCTGGCCTCACACAGAGTTGGATTCAGTTATTCAGTTAAGTGTGCAACACTGTGCATTAGAGGGTTTTGGAAAAATATTTATATAGCAATATTTCAACCAAAATACATGAGTTATAACAAAGATGTGAATTACAGAGCAGAATTAGTTTTTGATAGGTTTATTTATTTATTAAAAATTCAAGTGTTGGTATAAAGCTCCATAGTCAATCAGCTTCTTTGTACCACAACAGCTGCTTTTATATTCCCTGGTCTCTCAGAAGGCAAGCAAGTAAAATGTTCTCTGTCATGTTTTGCAGGTAACATGGGATGAGTCACTAAAAAAACTGATTAACCTTGGGTGCAGTATTCCTTTTAAAACAGCCATTAATGCAGAGGGTGTGCATATGTGAGAGAGGGGATAGAGGTGTTGGTATAATGGCTGAGTATCATCATATTCAGATTTTGGTTACGCCTGCCTCTTTTACCAGTTTGATTAGGAAGATGAAAGATGCTGCCTAGTCAAGCCATTTAATGTGCCTGTTTTGCAGCAGCAATTCCGTATCAAGTAAATGACAGCTTTCCAAGACTGATTTTGCACAAGCTGGACCATTAGCATAAACGCTGTTCCAACCACAATTTGTGCATAATCCCCAATGTGCATTTGCCATGCATATCCAAACACATTTCACTCTGAATTTTAATTCACCAACACCAAAACAGAAACTAAAACCTCTAACAAAAGTACATAGATGGTGAAAACAGATAGGTATTACTAAAATAAGACTGATCTGGGCCTGTTTTCATCCCGCCACTGGCCATTTCCTCCTATGGGCTAGGAAGGTGGGGGCAAATCCTTGGGTTTCCTGGGAGAAAAAGCAATTTCACATAGATAATGCAGCCACGGTGAAGCTCCATCTGGCTTTTGCTGATAAGAGTGCCCCTGTGACAAAGGAATTTTCCACTCCTCAGGCAATTTGCGCTGTTCATTGAACTTCAGAAAGCCAACAGGCACCCAGACATACTCGGGGGATCTTTCTGTTCAGGGTGGAGGGCTGAGGGAACCACAGCACTGGGTGGGCGAAAGGTCTGGATAGTTACGCTCCAGGAAGGGCAGAGTTTTTGGAATGGGAGTGGTGAGAAGTTAGAGACCCCAAGGTGAACTGAAAGCCAGTCATTTCTCTGACATGTGGCCAGCTTGTTGAGAAGATACAAATACCTGTGAAAGGACGGCCATTTCTTTTTAAAGATTATGTTTCACTAGAGGGTGGGTGGAGGGTGACATGCGGTTAAGATTCCCAGCAACTGGGACATTGCAGTAGCATCGCATTTTAGACCACTAGCACACCCCAAGATGCTCGTGATAATGCAATGTAAAGGAATTGTGTGTTAAGGACCACTTAAAGACCACGGGTCCTAAAATTTCATCATTGAAGTTGAAATTAATCCATACAGTCAGACCTAATAAGTGAAGACAGAGCAAGAGTCAGTACCATTTTTCTGTGGCCTAAAGTGACAAAGCTTCTAATGCTGCTTTAGAAAAACACATCCAGGACCAATGCAGCAGTAGAATGACAAATATTAAGAAACCAAATCAACAACACCTTCACAGCTACCTGAACAAATATTTAATAAATGCAAACAATGCATATATTTGGTGCAAGTACTCTGCAACAACTGCAGTATTGAATGTCCCTTCCATTTCAAGTAACACACTAACAAAGTAAGACTCGGACACAAAGAGGACACTCTGGTCTTCTTGGATAGATAATCATTGTTATTCAGGCTGAGGAGCTGGCATTAAGAGAAAAGCGAAAGAGCGGGCAGACATTCATCCCACAACAGTCAGTGGTGTGTGCATGTGTGAGGTAGTGCAGAAAGAGGACCTCCAAGTCTGAGTACTGCAGACACAGAGAGAGATAGCCCAATATGACACATTGCTCATAACTCTGACAACAGATGCATGCATATACACATGCACAGCAAACTCTGATGTCATATTTTTATCAAGATCCTAGAAAAGGGAAAAGGAACAGACCAAAACAAAGGAGTCCATCAGAATATGAAACTACGTGCATAAACATTTTTGTTTTAAGCACCTTTTGTTTTAAAGAGCATTCAATGGTCAGTTTTCAGACTATCCACACTGGCTTGTGGGATGGGTTAGAAGGACACCAGATGTATATAGTTGCACATGACAATTTGTTTTAAATCAATTTATGTAAGGTTTGCCAGGCTGTATTGAAATAAGGTCTCCATCTACACAAACGAATACCTAACGGTATTCTGTCGACTCTATGAAAAAATAAGAGGCGCCATCATGAAACAAAATATATAAAACAGAAATTCCTCCCTTTCCATTTTATTTTTTTATCAAAGGAGTACACAGGACCACTGACTTACAAAGCAGGAATGTATGCTGTAACAGACAGAAAATGCTCTTTAATTTCAATTGGACTTCTTATCATGGGGAAGCAACTCACTCAAAGGAGCCAATTCACTGTTTTCAAACAGAGTACCATGGCCTCAGACATCGTGGTGATGATTCTCATCTCAGCTGCTTTATACTCAACAGCAACCTGCCCCAAAGCTAGAGATCTGTCTGATGAAGCCAAAAGCATTACACCAAAACGCCACAAAGCTGTGTCTGGAGATTCTGTCAATGAAAATCACTAATAGTTTCAGTGACAAGGCGCGATCCTGGTCCACAAAACACACAAACTGGATGGGCAAACTCCCATGACCACTCCAGAATCCTTCCAAGACCTTTACTTTTGCTCTTTTTATAAACTGAGATTATTCAGTATACGAGTGATTACATATCCTGATGGTATCAGTTACATTTAGTGTAAAATGTACATATTCTCAGTGAGACAGAGTGTTCCTTACCTTGCCACAGAGTACATGAAGAGGAAATCATTGTCGGGGGAGCCAGGGTTCTTTCCGTAGTCCATGTATTTCTTCTGGGTGGTATTCTTGATGTCTTTAATGACCAACTCCATCTCTTTGCTCAAGTTTGATTCCGTCTTAAAAAAGAAGAAAACAATACATCAAAATTATTTCTTGAATGGACTTTTGGAGGATAGGTAAAGCTAAGAAAAACATGTTAAACAACTCAAGATCTGGCACAAGAAGATGCATTACATTAAAAAACAAGACTTTTAAAAAATTTTAAAAAAATTTGTGTCAGCAACCTCCTTGTAATGTTTTTGTTTGTTTTTTTAACAATAAAGTAAATAACAGTACTTGCCTTTCTGTTATTAGCACAATATGCCATTATTGAAATTACTTTTCTTGTTTTTTCACCCTCTTCACAGGCTATTTCAATATTATAGCATCATTAGTTAAAATTCCTACACTATTCACCTCGCAAAGAGACTGCAGGACAGTGTACAACAGTAGCATACATACATCAGGAAATGTGCATTTGCAACTGGCAGTTTCCAGCTCATCCTTCAAAAAACATCTTATATGTGTGTTACTTTATAACAGAAAGCTTAAATCTGCTTGGCTCAGTGGTTTTAAAGGATGTTTTCAATAGATTCTAGATATTTCAATATGTTTTTAAGACAGTATGAAAACTAACATAAAGCTAGAGTGCGGGACTTTTACATATAAATGAACGTCCGATCAAGCTCTTGCCAAATGAGTTCACACAATGCTGATTAAGCCTCTCACCGCCAGATTAATCTCTTTGTACAAGCAGTATACCAGAGTTTTTAAATCCGTGTCTGTGGCAACATTCCCGCACTTGCGACCAGGTAGTGATGTGCTTTATGCCCACCAGCAATGATTGGTTTGCCAGAGATGAAGGGGGGGAGCAACTGTAGTGACAGCAGCAACAGTATGGTAAAGTTTATGCGTCATAAGCATGTGCCGACAGTGTTGTGTAATTACCCTCACTGTTAGAAGGGGGAGACTAAAGTTCCACACTCCAGTTTTAAGAGAGAATTGAAACTTGGTAATCCATTTTCGTTACAAAGTGAAATTAGAGTTGCAAAAATTGCACATCTGAACACAATGACATGAGACTTGAAATTCCAAATACACCAACAAAAAAATTCTATGAGAAAACACGCAAAGACACTGCTGTAGTCCTTTAACTTCTTAGCTCTGTTTAATAAAAGCTACAGCAGGAGGAAAACACTGTCATTATCATGAGAATAAAGAGAAAATATTAACATCCACCCATATAGATCACAGGTTCAATGACAGAAATGGGCCGCTGGTAGTGACACTTAAAGGATGTCAGGTGCTTTATGAAAGAGGGGCTTGTCTCTGATTTCCCCAAATGAAGAACAGTCTCTCTGAAACAGAACCACACTGTTTCTATCTGCAAAGGTCAACGCTCCCTCTAATTTGGAGGAAGATGATTTTTTTCAGTAATTATAATCAGCATCTATGTTACTATCAGCCAATAATGAGCTGACAGCGTGTATAAAATACAGCTGTGTAAAACTTACTGGGAAATGGCCAAGTTTCTCCTGAAGATCTTCCACCTCCTTCACAAGCACGTACGTCTTCTTGTTCGTGGGTGTGCGCCAGGCACCAGCCTCTGTTCCCCGCCCAGGGCGACAGGGAAGGACGCTATTGGCAAACTGTCGACACAGTGGGCACGTAAATTCACCTTTGTCAACGGAGAAACCCTGGAGGACCTGGTCATTCTGAAAAGAAAAAACATATGAAAGTTAGATTTGACCTTTAGAACTTAAACTCAGAACTTTGAAGAGGCAACTGACACTGAAAGTAAATTTAATAATTAATTTTTAGTATGCTGGATTGCACAATTTCTCAATATGTGATCCAAAATCTTTAATTCATACTGCATCTATACAAGGAAAATGACACACAGTGAATCAAGGGCTGCAGTTATTTTAACCAATTCATCATTTAGTCTGAGTAATGCCCCAAAAAAGCCAGTTCTCATCTTTGTACTCACAAGAGATAAAATTCAATTTCTTATAACAAAAGGTACACATAAGTAACAAATTTCTCCAACTGAAGAAGCTGTAATTAAAAAATGTTTGGTATATTCACACTATGGACTTTTTATTATTCATCAATTGTCAAAATAGTCATTGATTAATTTTCTGTCAAATAACTACTGTAATTATACGACATTCCATAAAGGTCAAGCTTTCTCTTACCCTCAGAGACTCCATGTATGACTTGTGGCAATCTATATGCAAAGTGTGCCCACAGGTCTGGACGTACACGCCCCCATCCCAACCTATTGACACAGACTGCAGACAAGAACTCTGCAGAATTTTCAAGAGAAAACAAATCACATCAATTAGAGTATACATGTCTAAAGGCATTCAATCTCATGGACCTTTTGTTTAATGTGGTGCTAAAAACCAAATAGATTTAATCAAGTTTAAATAAACAAGCTGCAATAAACATTGTTGTGTTGGAAGCTAATCAATACACGACATTGTCGTGAAAATCAAATGAAAGCAGCTAAATCAAAGCAATGTTCAATAAAGCTGTAGTTAGCGTTATGAGCGATAACTGAATTTTTCTCTTGAATATCTGCCCACTGGTATATTAATTTCATAATTCTGCTCTTTGTCACACAATGTTATGTATAAGGCCTATAATATGAATCCCACAACCCTTTAAGAAATGTTTTCTTTGACAGGGACCATCCAAAAACCTACAGTCTCTCAGGGACTTCAGCAGATGCAGATGCTCACATTGTTGACGTGCATATAAACTAAATGTCAGGAAATTCAAACAGACAGGATGAAAGCCTATTATTAGAGCTGCTGGAGCCGTTATCTAACACACAAAAACCAATGTCCCTGATAGTGCTCTAAGTGCTTTTAGCCTTTTTTCCTCTGCAATGCAAAGCTGGCAATATTTTCTGTGACACCTACATCTTTGAAGAACCGCTGCATGAGCGTGAGCCTGACATCATTAGCCACTCCGCACGTGTCTGCAGCGTAGATGTGCTCCTCATCACTCGTCGGTAGATTCTTAGGCTCTTTGCTTCTGCAGCGGTGCCCCAGCACTGTCAGTGATGAATTATGATGTGATGAAGATTAATAATCCAAAAAGAGATAAAGATTGCGATTGTGTTGAGTTCATACAGTATTAAGGCTACAAAAACTACTAAATCATCATTTAGATTTCAGAAATATCAGAAATTGCGTTCGTTGCATTCAACAACAATGAAATCAAAATGCACAGCTTCAAATTTTCTAATTGTTTATGTAGTGTAATTGCATGTTGTTAGGGACCTGCTGTTGGTCACTGATGGTAGATTTTACGACATATTTTTTGACGCTGAGGTCAGAGTCTTCTAAATCGTTTTACAATGTGACTAATTACTAAACAAACATGCCATTTATTTGGATGACAGTGAGCGATCCTCCTCTGTCCACAAAAAAGGAATAGAAATTACCCCTTACAACGATGGGCTCCACGTACAAGTGAGCAGGGTCCAACATGAATGATAAATTAGCTAATTTAAACAACGGTTAACACATTAATTAAAAATTTGATTTCCAATATGGTGGATCAAAGGAGCTATGAATAACTGTTTTGGTTTAAAAGGCAAGACTCCCAACAGAGAAACAGAACAGTCATGGTTGGTTGTTTAAAATCTTACTACAAAACAAAAACCGTGGTTAAACAAACACGTCATGTGTACGTTATTAATTTCAGCATCTGAGAAAGTAAGAGGGAGGATGCTGGGACATGCAGTACCTGAGGATGCTTGGAGGAGAACTACTAGACCAGTGGGTCTGTCCTCAGTGGAAGGTCCGCTCTGGCCACAGATCACGCAGTCATAAAGAACCTCAGACTCCATCACTTCAGATGCTCCTAAGTCCATGGCGGCCTCAGTGTCGGGGGATTCTAGCACAAAAAAAAAAGTTAAAATCTTAATATGAGTTGGCAAAAGCTTCCCCACAAAAACCTTCAAACTTATATCATAACCATATAATCATAATCGCAGGACAGACTGCAGTACCTAAAGCCAATGACTAAAGTCTGGAAAAACAATTGAGAAAATTCTTATTCATATTCAGTGATCTGTAAGCTTTACATTCTCCTCTGTGTGAATGAAAAACATCCAACTGTGTGAGAAACAAAAACA